GAAGGATTATTGTATTTTCTAAAGATCCAATCTGATTTTTGAAGTATTTCTGCAGGCAAATGTGTATTGGCGGTTTTTGAAGTATTCCTGTTTGCAAATGTGTTTTGACGGTTTTGTGCTGTATTGTTTAACCATATTGTAATTTTCTTCCCATTTTTAAGATATTTTTAAGGAAAATAAGCTTCTTCTTGTCAAATAGAGGTCCGTTTTGCAACAGCTATCCCTAGTGGATTAATCTGGAAATTACAACAGCGCAAATGACATTCTAATAGACTTGTCTCTATTCTTGTTTTGCTCGATCTCAGTGCTGCATTTGTTACTATCGACAATGATATATTATTGCAAAGCCTAGAGCACTTAATTGGCATACAGGGAACTGCTTTTGGCTGGTTTAGGTCGTATCTATCTGAACGCTCTCAGTTTGTACGTGTCAACGATGAATCTTCCACGCAAACCAAAGTTAGCCATGGAGTGCCACAGGGCTCAGTGCTCGGACCTATTTTGTTCACATTATATATGCTTCCATTAGGCAATATTATAAGGAATCATTCTGTAAATTTTCATTGTTATGCAGATGATACTCAACTATATTTATCAATCAAGCCTGATGAAATGAATCATCTAAATAAAATTCAAGACTGCCTCAAGGACTTAAAAACGTGGATGACCTTAAACTTTTTGATGTTAAACACGACCAAAACTGAAGTTATTGTACTTGGCCCGAAGAATCTACGAAACTAATTATCTAAAGATATACTAACTATGGATGGCATTAATTTGGCCTCCAGTGAGACTGTAAGGAATATTGGTGTTATATTTGATCAGGATTTATCCTTTAACGCCCACATAAAATCTATTTCAAGGACCGCCTACTTCCATCTACGTAACATTGCAAAAATCAGGCATATCTTGCCTCAAAACGATGCAGAGAAACTAGTCCATGCATTTGTTACTTCAAGGCTGGATTATTGTAACTCCTTATTATCAGGGTGTACCAAGAAGTCAGTCAAGTCGCTTCAGCTGATTCAAAATACTGCAGCTCGTGTACTAACCAGAGTTAGGAAAAGGGACCACATTGCTCCAGTTCTGGCTGCCTTACACTGGCTCCCTATAGAACACAGGATAGAATTTAAAATTATTCTTCTCGCCTACAAAGCCCTTAATGGGCAGGCGCCATCTTACCTAAAATAATTCATTATACCCTACTGTCCTACTAGGGCATTGCGTTCCAAGAATGCAGGGTTGTTGGTTGTTCCTAGAGTCTCTAAAAGTACAATGGGAGCCAGAGCCTTTTCTTATCAAGCTCCACATTTGTGGAATCAGCTTCCAGTTTGTGTTCGGGCGGCAGACACTATCCGTTTTTAAGAGTGCGCTTAAGACCTTCCTTTTTGATAAAGCTTATAGTTAGGGCTGATTAGATTCAGCCCCTAGTTTTGCTGATATAGGCTTAGTTTGTCGGGGGACATCTTACTTCTTCCTTCTCTCTGTCTATACCTGTGTACTCTCATGTTCCGATTAACCCAGCTTCCCCAAATTCCTTTCTTTTTGGTGTCTATATACGCTGGGATCCGGAGTCATGGATAATCCTGTTGCTGCGGTCCTGTGTCCTGGATCGCGAGCCCTGGATCTTGAGTCGTGGCTGTGGTCCTGGATCATAAGTCCTGGATGGATATCCTCGTGGATTCATCTTCCTATTATACACACATGCATTTCCAAACATTTGGACTACCTATGTTGCAAATGTATTATCTTTTCAATTTACACACGGCATCTATTGCACGTCTGTCCGTCCTGGGAGAGGGATCCCTCCTCTGTTGCTCTCCCTGAGGTTTCTCCCTGAGATTTTTCCCTTTAAACTGTGGGTTTTCTCTGGAAGTTTTTCCTTGTACGATGTGAGGGTCTAAGGACAGAGGGTGTCGTATTGTCATACTGATATTCTGTATAAACTGTGAAATCTACTGAGACAAATGTAACATTTGTGATATTGGGCTATATAAATAAACATTGATTGATTGATTTAACAGTGGAATAAAACTATTTTATACTATTGGAAAGCACGGAAAATGTGTGTGCATTAAGATTAACCATTAAGATGACATAAACATGAAGTCATGAACACTAACCCAGACATTAGTTGTCTAACTTGAACCTAGCTAAGACACTTGTAGCCTGTCTCTGCTGACGCACAATAAGGGGAGTGTCAACACAGACACCTGTCAACCCGCACTCTGCTGTTCCTCAGCGCCGCTTCCCCTCCCTCCCGTTGAAATTATGAATTAAAAGCGTATAGTAATCATAGATAACACGGCAGGGTCCGTGACAGTTTGTTTTCATCTGCTTTCAAATAAACAAAGTCTTGGTTTTTAGAATATTAAACTTGTTTCGCCATGACAACAGCCGGTGTTTCTTGTGAGTGTTTCCCGGGAAACAAACACAATACACACAAACGCATCACAGATTATTTTGCGGTATTTGGCTGCCGAACGAAATCATGTACGCAGCTCGCGTAACTAGGATTCTAGTGGACGGTATCATTACTACAAGTATTTTTTATTTTTTTTAAAATTAATGACGTTGTTTATAAATAAATCTGAGGGCCGCAAAAAGAGGAGGTGGGGGCAGGCCCCCGGGCCGCCATTTGCCCATCCCTGTACTAAAGGAAAGGTCAGGGGGGTGACCAAAAGCACTAAGAGTTAACGTTTGGTGACATGAATATCCAGAACAGCTGATAATGAGCTAATAAAATGGACCTTGCTCTGAGGAATTGGACAAGCCAGCAGATCAAACGCACCAATCATATGTTAAACTGTTAAACTGAAGCCCCACAATGTTCACTTGAAGGTAGACCTCAGTTTGAGAGCCAGAGCTTGCTGATGAAGCTTTAATAAGATTCAATGGACCTAGATAGGCAATATTCAAATTAGCCAATCTGGTGCTGCAGAATAACAAGACGTAACCCCTAATACAACACTCGAGGATTTTACAAAAGTCGTATAGTTTTGACATAATGTTTTGACAATACACACACACATTTTTGGGTTTATTCTCCATTCATATTGCACTAATGATTCTTCCATGTGCATTTCTGGTAGAGTAACAACCACATTCCTGAAATCCTGCAGCAGAATAATTTGTGATTAAAGCCATTTCTTAAACTATAATTACTTAAACAGATTTTGAGTTTATCAGGAGACAAAATGTGAAGCATTTTTTTTCATCTAGAGTCCTGAGGTTTGTTCTGAAGTTACACATTTCTCTAAAGCTAATTAACCAGTATGCAACACTCTGAGGCTCTACAGGGCATCAGTTACTCCTTCACTCATGTCCAAGCCCGGTCACCATACTTGCCAACCCTCCCGATTTTCGCGGGAGACTCCCGATTTCATTGCCCTCTCCCGGTTTCCTCCCGGGGTCATATTTCTCCCGCATTTCTCCCGATTTCTGACAAAATCAGATTTACTCAGGACTGTTTCCACTCGGACTTTAATACAGCTACACCATTGTTTGGTTTCCATTAGGGATGCACTGAAAATTCGGCCACCGAAAATTATCGGCCGAAAATGGTTAAAAAGGCCCTTTCGGCCGAAAGCCGAAAGGGCCATGCTCACGGCTGGCTCACAGCCAACATGTCTGCCGCTTGGAGATACTTCACAATATCAGATAAAGAGGCGCGGATTGCGATTTGCAAAACGTGTTCAGCTGACATTTCTCGAGGGGGTGTAACTTCAAAGACTTTCAGCACTTCGGGATTACTCCATCACTTGAAATCTAAACACCCGGACCAATATACGGAGTATGATGAAATCACCAGCGCACAGAAAAAAAAAGTCCTTCCCAGCACCCCGACTCCTTCTGTGGCAGACCTTTTTGAAAAGATTAAAAAGTTTCCCAGTGATGGTCCTAAGGCAAAGGGCATTACTCGGAAGTTAATGGAATGCATCGCCATGGACGATCAACCGTTTTCTGTCGTACAGGACGTTGGATTTCGTAGGCTTATTGAGCATATTGAGCCACGTTATTCCTTGCCTAGCAGACGACACTTAGCAGACGTGTGCTTACCTGAACTGTACAATGTCGTTGCTAATCACATCCATGAGCTCTTGGCTACAGATATTACAGCCATCAGCTTCACGACAGACATATGGAGCTCAGACGTAAGCATCACCAGTATGCTCAGTCTAACTGCACAATGGATCGACAAGGATTTTAAACTGCAAAAGATTCTGCTGCATTCGCAAGAGTTTAGGGGGTCTCATACAGCACAATCCATCTCCTTGACATTCGCCAATATGTTCGACACATGGCATATCGACCGACCTAAAGTGCACGCAATAGTCAGTGATAACGCAAGAAGTATGACTAAAGCTATAGAAGAATGCAATCTGAGTGGAATACGCTGCATGGCCCACACTCTGCAATTAGCTGTGAACGAGGGAGTGTTGGCTCAACGCAGCGTAAAAGATCTGTTGGCCATAAGCAGAAAGATTGTTGGTCACTTCAAACATTCTCAACTGGCCTATTCTCGCATTGAGCCAATACAAGATGAGCTTGGAGTAACAACGAAACGGTTCCAACAAGATGTGAGTACACGGTGGAACAGTACTTATTATATGCTGGAAAGCCTCTTTGCTCACAAGCGAACCTTGGCTACATACAGCGCAGATCATGATCTCCCCGCATCATTCACTCCAAACCAGTGGATCTTAATGGAGAACATTCTCTCCATTCTTGCCCCATTCGAACAGCTAACTAGAGAGATTAGCTCATCTGACGCATCGGTGGCAGACGTCATCCCTTTAAATGCGGCTCTAAAGCGTCTTCTAAGGAAAGAGGTTGAAACGGACCGTGGAGTAAAAACTATGAAAAGTACACTCTTGGAGTCTGTCAACACACGTTTTGCTGATATCTACTCTGATCCCCTGTACTGTATCGCGACTGTACTTGACCCGCGATATAAAGACAATTATTCTGATGCGGGGAAAAAGCAAAGCGCACGAGACATGATCCAGGCTGTGTTGGATAAGGAGAACCCACGAGAGGAGGCTGCTGCGCACAGCACAGGAGACGTGACGCAAACCACAGAAAAAAGGGCTCGTCTGTCTACAGCAGAGGAGGAGGAGGAGAGGGGGCAACCACCCTCGTTGTCTGATATGTTCAACGAGATCATGGAAGAGAATACTACCCCAAATAGGTAGGCTACTCTGTTCTGACTTGGTTACTTACTGTACTATGTGCTACTGAATGTGATATTTATTAGTACTGTATGTGCTGCCATGTAATATGCTCTTAATGTTGTAATTTCTTTTGACATGTCAGATGATTTTATTTGTCTGCCAAGTGATCTGGCATGCGTAAATATACATTTGACTAAATGTTCATTATGCACTGTCCCTATTTTAAATACAATCTTATTCTCTCAAACCTCTCAAATGCCAGGCTGGTGACAAGCTCAACCGCTCAACAGTTAGATGATTATCTCTCAGAAGTACCCATCCCCAGAAGCGAGAACCCTCTTGGATACTGGAGAAACAAACAAGACCGCTTTCCTGACCTGGCCAAGGTGGCACGCAAGTATTTGAGTGCTCCATGCACAAGCACTGACAGCGAGAGACTGTTCAGCGCTGCCTCTCATGTGCTTGATGAGAAGAGGAACAGACTCATGGCTGATAAAGCAGAGAAGCTACTGTTCATTAAAAAGAACCTCCCACGTTTCCTTAATAAGTAGACAAGGCTGGCTTATCATAGGCTTATCATAGGCTTATCATAGGCTTTCATTTGTAAATACTATAGTTACATTCATGTGGATTTATCCAGTTTGCACATTTGTATGCATGCACTTATAGGTGCATTTGTTGTTGTTGTTGTTGTTGACACTATTTTGTTGTAGGCCTACTGGCCTAGATGTTTATGCTGTTTTAAAGCCCCTTGGCTTTGATCTGAATGCACTTTGTTGTAGTTATTATCCTACAGAGAAAATAAATGTACAAATGTTCAAAAGTGCTGAATAAATGTTTTATGGACCCATAATAGTGATTATTATTTAAGTTATGTTTTGCCATAATCATGTCTATTTCCATAATCAGGTAGCTGAACAACATTGGTAAAAAATGTATACATTATATATATATATTTCTATTAATCATTTTCGGCCTTTCGGCATTCGGTTTTCGGCCAACTGTTTCCTATTTTCGGTATCGGTTTCGGCCAAGAATTTCCCATTCGGTGCACCCCTAGTTTCCATGGTAGCGCGTCTCTTTAGTAGCGTGCGCAACTGAAAGTCTGAGAGGGTGAGGCAGATAGTCACATAAAACAGAACAACAATCGACAACTCTACCCTCTGCTCACTCCTTTCCTGTAAAATACAGGCCCAGCCCACACATATGCTCCATCAAGGATGGTGCTACAGGCCGCAAGGCAGTGCACTTACCACTACAATAAGCATGTTAATGTTATCCACTACCACCCCCCCGGTGGTTTTGAAATGCTCCCGATTTCTGAGGTCTCAAGGTTGGCAAGTATGCCGGTCACACACACACACACACACACACACACACACACACACACACACACACACACACACACACACACACACAACCACACACACAAATTAGACCTCCTCCTGGGAGCTGCCTTGAGGTGGTCATGAAATGAGAAGTCATTTTGTTGCACTATTGTGCCATCAATCAGACTGCATCCACTCTCCATTCCATTACATAACTCAGTAGATCTGGAACATTTCTAACTATCCGTCATGCTTAGCTGCCTGAAGAGCCACAGGAAAACAATCTGTTCCTGACCACGGAATAATGTCCCGTAAAAGCACAACATGTTCGTTTCTTACTTTATTGTTGCAATGATTAAAAAAACAATGCATAGCATTAGTAAGAAGAGTAGTTAGACGTGTTTTCTCTCTCTAACTTTGGACGGGGCCAGGCTAAGCTAAGTTAACTAAGCTGGCTCCAGTGACATATTTTTTCGTGCAAACAATCTTCTTTCAATCTTCTCATCTAACTGTCGGCATGGAAGTATATCCCAAAATGTCAGTGTGTTACATTTTGTCATTTTTACACATTGGCTTTTGAACGGATGATGTGATATTTTGTGAGTTTTAGAGATTGTGGAAGGAATATTGTTATCATCTGCCATATTGACTGTAACCAAACAACTACACAGAGGGAACCTCTGGAATCTTTTTAAACGCTGCTTCTCAACACAATTTGATCAATCTTACTTCTTAAAGACCACATAATTCAGTTTAAGCTCACTTTGACTAAGCTAGCAACCACCAAGCTCTAAGGGCTATCACTCAACTTGCTTCAGCTCTCATATGCGTTTAATTCAAATTAGAAATAATCCTTTGTGCCTGTAGCCATCAGGCTGCACAACCAGGGGTTAACCCTGTAACCCATCAATAACCTGCACTGACTGAACATTAACAATATTTGCACTCAATTATGTATATATGTTCATTCAAATGATCAACGTTTTACCTTATTTTGATATATTGTTTTAACAGTTACTTATATAATGTAATTTGTTGTTTTATTATCCGCTTATGAATCTGTACTGTCCTGTTTTTCACTCTCACTCTGTTGCTGCTTTAAACTCCTAAATAAAGGTCCATCTTATCTTATCTAATCTTATAACTTTGAAGGATTCATATTCAGAATAATGAGGTTGCTATGGCCAGCTGCTGGACCATAGACTGAACAGTATATAAAGGTTCAGACAAGACAACTTACACAATAAAAGAATAATATTTTTGATTGCTCATCAAATGTATGTATTGTAGTTAGAAACTGAGCTGTTGACAGACATTTTGAGAAATTCATAATGTTCATGAATCAACGAGGGTGACAGGGACACAGTTCTGTTGAGATATGAATCAAGTGCATGAGAATGTGCATGTACATTTTTTTATGTGTTTCTATCTTGTTGCACAGCTGATGGAAGACATGCTGTCGGTATGGCATGATTGGAGCTTTGTCTAAATTAAATTATAATTGATTCAGAGACAGACATTACTGGCATCAACTTCTCATTATATTTTTACATAAAATAATAATAATTACCAGTTGCGGCTTGTCAATTAATCCGGAATCTTCTCCAAGTCCGAACCTGTCTTCACAAAATAATGCGCTGCTCTCCTCGGTGTGTGTCGTCTGAGAGCAGCCGGCAGCACACTGCACTCCGACAAACCGGCAGCACACTGCACTCCGACACACACACACACACACACGCACGCACGCAAGCACACACACACACCCACACCCACACCCACACACACTCTTTCGAGGAAGCAGAACTTGTGCCGTGCCGACTAAAAGCCACATTAAGTATTAATATTGATAGCCTATCTGTGGTGGAATTTCTTTCAGCGTTATAAAACGCAACGACTAACACACAACTTACATCATTTCCCACGGGCTCATATGAAACATACAGTTTGGTTCCTAATACAGTGTGAGAAGAGGTGTGTCTCCTGTATGAGAGTGTTCTTATTATCGGATGCGGTTGTAGTATCACTGAATGGAGGTTATCATGTTGTATCCTGGCCAGGCACGTGCAGAGGATATTATAGGGGAAGGGGCTGAAATGCAGAAAAGGGCACATTGGCGATTTTGGTTGTAATAATTTAATAAAAACATTCCTGTAATGAATATTTTCTGTGACAGTGTTAAAGGAATAGTACAATGTTTGTATTAAAAACGAACCCATGACGGAGGGTGGGTCAAACACTGCTTCATGTCAGTTATTACAAAGTAAATGCAAATAAATTAAGTGTATTTCAGTAAATTAAACTTTTACTCTATGGCTGACAGAAGCTCTGCTGACAGAGATGCACTTTCTCTCTTATTTATAAAACAGTATAAACTCTAATGCGTTATCTTCACTGTTAAACTTCTCTGATGTGAAGAAGCATCGGATCATGTGATGCGCTGCAGCAGCCAATCAGTGAGTGATACACAGTAAGGGGTCGTGTCGAGTGGCTGAGGATTTCACCGAAAGATGGTCTCGCAGTTCCTCGGTTAAGTGTTTAGATATCCTTGTGTGCACAGTTGGATCAATAGCGAGGACGTGGAAGCTGCATTAAACCATACACCCAACTCCACCTAGACAAGACTGTCCCTCAAAACTCAGCATCCAAACAAAAAGGAGATAAGAGAGAAAGAAGCCATAAGGACCACTATCACTGAGGGAAATACAGAGTTCATTGTCTGAGAGAGGAATGAAGGAGCACCAGTTAACCCTCTCACAGCTCTGCATAGTTATGGCCTGTATGAGGGTGGTAGAAAGAAGCCATTACTCAAGAACAACCATATCAAAACCTCTGGAGTTTGCCAAAAAGAATGAAAGAGACCCAGCGTAGATGTGGGACAAGCTCTTGTGATCTGTTGAGAAGAGGATGGAGATCTTTGGCAAAAATTAAAAGTGCTGTGTGAGGTGCAAACCTTACTGTGTTACTCAGAAACACTGTCACTACAGTAAAGTATGGTGGGGGCTGCATCATGCTGTGAGGATGCTTTTCATCAGCACTGGGCATGCTGTTAAATTAAGGAAGAATGGATGGAGGAAAATACAGGGAGACAGGAGCAAATCCAAGAAGAATGATCAGAACACTCCAACCGGGTGCTGAACTATTACTGCAGCAAAAGGTGGCTCTACCAAACACTACTGTGTGGGTTAACACTTATGCAACCATCATAAGCTTTTTCAGTTTCTTATTTCTTTAAAATGTCTGCTGATGGATAATTAGATTTGGCATTGAAAATATACTGTTACAGCATATGAGCTTGCTATAAAAATACTGAATTTAAAAATGTGTGTATCATGTGTAATCCAGACAAATCTGATACATTTCAAGAGGGTTAAATACTTTTGCAAGCCGCTGTGCATATTACATTACATTGCATTTAGCTGACGCTTTTATCCAAAGCGACTTACAATAAGTGCATACGACCAAGAAGATACAAACTTGAAGAAAACAGGTCAGAGGGCCTAGGTATAAAAGTCACGGCTCGCCACTGATGAAAAACCATTCGAGCTAATGACAGATCCGAGCGAGTTTGTGTACAGAGAGAAGAGGAGGGGACCGAGGACAGAGCCCTGAGGGACCCCTGTAGATAATTGACAAGGGTCGGACTCGGACCCTCTCCGAGTTACCCTGTAGGTGCGGTCTTTGAGTTAGGAGGTGAGGAGGGAAAGTGCAGAGCCTGAAACTCCAAGTTCTTGGATATATAAACCCAGACACCCAAAAGCCAATCTAATTATCCATCTACAAAATAAAAAAAGTGAAATTCACTTTGCATAGTGGATTTCAAAACATTTTTTGGTATGTTAAACACTTTTTGTTTATCACATAATAGTATTTGAGTATTGACATAGAGGAGAGTGGGGTAAGATGAGCCAGTGGGTATGTTGACCCACTCCCTTTTGTCTAGGGAACTGTGCACATTTGTTGGTCATGTGACCATAAATTCAAGAAGCACCAATAAGGAAGCACCAGTAGGCTTGTTTGAGATGAGCTGCGGCTCGCCTCGAAAGTAGACGAGAACAGCCGATTGCAGCCGGGGGAGGTCTCAAAAAGCTCGCCTGAGCTCTCAATGATTGAGTCTCTCAATCGCGAGGATTGACAAAGTAACATATTTACCAACACATGTTCTACGCCACTACATTCTTACATTTAAATGTGTGCTGCGTCGGTTCAGCCATTCTCCGCAAGGGTTTTTGAAATTGGTCCGTACGCAAAGCATTGTGGGGATTTTAAGGAAGCGAAGTCTACCCATGTGCAGCCTCGAAATTTCCCCCAAACCAAGGACGCGGCCTCGGTGGAATTCCAAGTATGCTGGACATTGGAACAGTACTTCGGTGGCACTTGATGACGTAGCATCCTTGAAATATTGGCTTGGAAGCCAGTATCCTCGAGATCAGGGGTGGCCAACCAGTCAGAGGTTAAGAGCCACATTTTTTCTATGTTACTGCAAAGAGCCACATCAAACACAGTCACTGATACCGCTTGTTTCCGTTTTTTGTTTTCTGGAGACAAGATTTCAACCACGTCACTGATGCATTTTTGTGGCATTGGGATATATATTTTTTAAATCCTCTGGAGCAGAGAGAGGAGCTTTGGATTATTGATTAATGCATCAGTGTTTCTTAGGGTCAAAAACACTAAACTCACAACTTAAAATGAAAGCGTTTAGTTTATTTAATAAAAGAGCACATGTTCAATGTGAAAAGTGACAGTAGTTATAGATTATTTGCAATTTGGTGCTATATATATATTTAAAAATAAAATTATATATATTTTTTTTTTAAACACCTTGAATTTCAGGGGGGGGGCGCGGGGCTCCGTTGGCGGGGCGCAGCGCCCCTCCAAGACAATGGTAGGGGAAACACTGGATAGTGTTTAATCAACGATAGGTTTTCCCCCCCTCAAAGGTGATTGGTTCACTGCATCGCAGGTATTATTGTGATTGGCTCTTGGGCCACATCAAAAATTATACGCGCTGTCATCCTCTCATACTGACACCACACATACACAACATACATAACACGGGACGAAAGTAACGGAGCGATTTTATCCGAGCCCAAACAACTTTGACCGGCCAAATTACGTCAGAATTATCAGCATTCAATACTTAACAGACTACTAAATATCAGGTTTAACTGTCAGGAGTAGCTAGTGTTGTCACGATACCAACATTTTGGTTTCGATACCAAGTCAAGAATTGCGATTCCGATTCTTTTTCGATACTTTTCTTAAAAAAAGGGAAACGGTCTTAAATGTAATTATTGTGCTTTATTTCACACCAGAACCATAACACAAACTTTTAAACAATGAGAACAATAAATAAAATAAATGACAAGAATTCGTATTAAATAAAATTAATAAATGTCTTACAGACAGGCCTCGTGGTGTCCGTAGGCTTGCCCTCACTGTCAGAGATATAGCTCAAATACTTCCAAATTTCGCTTCTGGCGTCTTTTTTGTCAACAAGCCGAGGCGCAGCGGCAGTTGCACTCCCACTTGCAGCCATGCTTCTCGTTTTCTCACATGCTCTGGCAGCTAGCGCGTGCACGAGAGAGGGGAGGCACTTAGAGCGTGCTTGAGAGGGGAGGGACTTAGAACGTGCTTGAGAGGGGCGGGACTGCAGGCACGGCTGCAGTGCAGGGAGTGGAAGCAGAGCGCTGAACACACACGGCTCTTATTAAAACGGCGCTTTCTCACCGGAGTACTTTCCCCCGTCATTCTTAAAGTACCGATACTAATGAAACGGAGGAATCGTAACGTTTTTAACGGCAGGGTGTCGCGGTACCTTTCAAGTATCGGTACACCGTGCAACACTAGTCAGGAGTCAGTGTCTCTCCCCCAAACTCACACATATACAATTCGATATGAACTGAAGAGCCGCATGAAACTAGGCAAAGAGCCGCATGCGGCTCGAGAGCCGCGGGTTGGCCACCCCTGCTCGAGATTAAGAAACGGCCTCGGAGTCGGCTTCTTCTTCCTCTCTCGGTTTTTGGTGGATTGCAAACAACTTTAAGGTGCATACCGCCACCTACTGTACAAGAGTGTGTATCACCATTACATTACATGTCACTTAGACGCTTTTATCCAAAGTGACTTACATACTCAATACTGTGGGCAATCCCCACAGGAGCAATTTGGGGTGAAGTGTCTTGCCCAGGGACACAATGACATGCTGACTGCAGTGGGGTTTGAACCTGTGCTCCTCTGATCCGAACACCAACGCTCTATCCACTGCACCACACGCCTCCATATCATCCTATCACCACTTGTGGAATTATACCACTGTATTTACATTGTTTTAAATTCTTCCAATCAATCCTGTTTCACTCAAATACTTAAGAATGGCCTTCCTGGTAGCTCTTACCCCCTCACCTTCTGTTCCCAGTATCCCCATCAGGCTCCACTCCCTTCCTGCCTCTCTGACCCTGTCTCTTAGTTGTTCCCTCTCTGTGTTGTACATGTTGCAGTGTTATATGATGTGTTCCACATTTTCTTTCACTCCACATCCCCTGCATTCTTCAACTTCGCTTTTTACCATTATAAACATTGTGCCGTTTAATGTATGATCCAGTCTGAGTCTAGTGATGGTGATCTCCTCCCGTCTGTTCCTTTCTGTATAGACCTTTATTATAACTAGTGC